GAAAGCTTAAAAATATTTAAGACATAAATATGATTCTCAAAACTACTGTTGGTTGATGACTCCGTCGAAAAACAATGCCAGAGGCTCATAATGTAGCAATGCATTTTTTTGCTAAAGTTACTTGAAAAGTCAGTGGATTTATACTTTATAATAATTCACGTCAGAAAATAAACAATGTTCTATAGTTAGATGAAGAGTTTATCACATTAAGCTTATGCTTAAACCTGTATTCAGAAACTAACTCTTTAACAAAATATTGCAACCTCACAATGTTTTTTCAGTCTTGTAAATCAAACTCTGCCATGCCAATGTAATCAAGAGATTGAAACATATGGCTTATCTAATTCATGCCAATTTGTTAATAGGGTTGCAACATGTCTCAGAGCCCTACAAAGAGGAACCTATGTAATAATTTCCTGCTAAAACACTTTAAAATAAATTATACTGGCATTTAAGTCTAGGCCCACACTGCCCAACTTTACAGTGCAAGATGCTATAGCTAAGGTTTAGATGTCAGATGGCCCTCAGTGGTCGCATTTCACAAGTGATGCTTTTGGAAGGAGATCAAATCACGGGGTGCTGTGGTGGTCCCAGGGTGCACCAATACTGACTTAGTAACTGACTGTGGTATTTGGAGGCAAGGCCTAATTGGAAGAGGCAGATTGCTGAGGGCATGGCCTCGGGCCAATTTGGCTCCGCCCTCTCCCTTTCCTGCCCTCTTGAGCAACTTCCCTCTGCAGTGCATGCCGGTTCCCCATGCCATTTCTGCCTTGGAACTAGCTCACCGTGGCCTGAATTCTCTGAAACCATGAGTCCAGATAAACCTTTCCTCCTTTAAATTGTGGGCACTGGATATCTGGCGCCAGCAAGGAAAGAGCTGAGATATACATTGATCAGCTGCAAAGCTATTACACTCTCTAGTTGAATACCCTTATGATCAATTCACTGAAAGCACTGTACTTTATTCCAAAAATTATTAAATAGAAGTTAATACAAGAAAAAAATCACTTAAACATATTCATTGGAGTACATAGAATTTGAATAGTACAGAGAAAATAAAAATGACCATTACTCCATATTTGGAAATAAATATTGGGAACATTGGCTCAATATGATGCTCTTAAATTTTTATGTCTGGGGGTGTTCTCTAGTAAAAGTTTGTTTTACATTTGTCACAGAACAAAAGAAAGCATTAAATGTATTTCAATGAAAATATGTCTGTGTGGATTTAAAGTGATTTTACTCTTGTAATTCTTGGTATGGCTTTCTTATGATTTGCATTATGTTCTCAGTGCGGAGTGCTTCCTTAGCCCAAGTTTTAATTGTTTGTTGTGTGTGTGTGTGTGTGTGTGTGTGTGCGTGTGTGTGTGTGTGCTGGCGAGGTTGTACAAGGAACTGAACTCGGGACTTTGCTCTTGTCAGGCAGGTGCTGTGCTGCTAAGCTACACCCTCGGCCCCTACTCATGTGGTTTGGCAAGTTACAACACCGTGTAAAAGCAGAAGTCAAATTTGATCATCCTTGCCCATGATCTCGATAAGTTGTGGGAGATATTATTCTTGGGTGCATGCATTTGGCAGAGTTGTTGAAAAGGCATTTGGGTTTAACATGCTAGTTTCTACTGAAGAGTCTGTGAATTAATGTAAATTGCCATAAAGGTTTGAGACGAGAGAAGACATGGATGAAACTGCGAGACACGCACGCCGCTGCTTTGAGCATTGCACCCATTACAGTTCTTTACAGGTGGACTGCAAAGTGCTCTGACTAAAACACGCATATACCCGGGAATGGGGTCGTCGATGCACTAGAGTAGTGTGCGTTAGTAAACTGCTAGGGTTTGGCGGAGGGCGATGGAGGCAAGAAAGCCTCAGGAGGGAACTGAGGCACAGCACCACGGAGCTCTACGAGGGATGTGCACTAATACCCCCGTTCTATGTGCAGCCAGAGCACAGACGGGTTGAGGCTGCTCACGTGTGACCTGGCTGAAAGATGCACAGTCCTCAGGTCACTGACATGGAAAATGCTGGGTGCTCAGCGATCATTTTCTGAACATGGTGAAATAAAATTTTCTGAGAGAGGAAGCAGCTGACGGGTCAGCCTGCTGGCCACTAAGAAGAGGAACTGAGTCCTAAGCAAGATCGTCCTTCATACCTGCGCGTCTCAGGGGGTCCAGTCCAATCCACAAGCTGGGTTTTGCTTAGGAGGAAAGAGTTAAAAGAATACAAAGAAACTGGAGAAACAGTGGAAAAGTCAGCTGCAAAATGTGTAAAGTAACTTACCACTGAAATCATGAAACATTTTCTTTCTGCCTAAACTCAAGCATGGTCTGCTCTACAAGGTTCTGATACTTTGCAAACTCCAAGGAGAGAACCATCTGAAGAGCTCAGGGAGCCTTTGCTGATTGTTTAGACATTGTTTTTCATTTCCCCATCCCACCTTGGTCAGCAGATGTTAAATAAGTTCCTACTAAATGCTAGTCATGGGCACAAAGGTTAGAGCAGCACCGAAAATACATTAACAATTCAATAGTTACATGTAAATCCTGATAAATTCTTAATGCTATTCTAGGCTGAATAGAGATCACAGCAGTACTATAGTTGATGTGAAATTTCATTTCAGGAAAACGATGAAAATTAATCATAAAAAGCTTAGGTGGGCTGAATTAAATTTTTCCAGAAGATATTTTTTTCTGAAAAAATAACTACTAATAAGTAAAGTCCTATATAAAGAGTAAACAATATTTCTTTTATGTAAAAAAATGACACGTTAGCATTTTTATAATCATAGTTAGGATATAAATAAGTAATTATCCCTCCAACAATGAGTAAAGTAAGTTGGAAATTTCATTAGGCCAAAATCATGCAATGTTAACTTACAATTCTTATCAAATAATGGTCATGCAATCTTTTGTCTTACAACTTTAACTCATATTTCAATTTTAAATAAAGTAATATCGAATCAATGATTAGACACAGATAGATAT